ATATTTCTGCTTGAAAAATGCGAGTTTCATTTCTTGCACGCGCATATGAACCCATGATAACACACGCGACGCGATTATGTTTTCCGAGCTGCAGTAAACAAACACCGTTGCACTTTGTCGTTTATCAAAATCAAACGTAATAAATAATTGTATTTTACTCTCACTTTTGTCAGGCACAAAGTGATGCAAGAGATGCACTGCCTGCCCAGCTAGGTTAGCAAGACCGAAAAACATCAAACTATGCTGACATCAAACTTAGAGAGGAGAGAAGAACACAAGTTTACCTGATTGTTGTTCCCGCAATTCACTCTCATGGGTTTTTTCTTCTTCCTCTTTTCGTGACCAGAAGGATAGTTTCGCTTCATTTTGTCGTGGATGTTGTAGCTACACATTTGACGGCGCGCTATGACTATGACACGAGATGGAGGCGTGGCCTTAAGTAATTTGCGTGGCCCTACGCCGGTCGCGTGCAGTCTATGGTCGCGTGCAGCGTTTGCCCTTCATACTGACTTTCACTTTCGGTGCCCGAATGGAAGTAAATGAGGCTTTGCGATTTTTTTTTAATCTAGGCCTACGTGAAATTCTGCATCCATTGTACGATTGAATTTTTTTCTCGGAAGGGCAACTTGAGTGAGAAGGGCATATGGGCAGTTGCCCGGGCAACCCCCCTGTGCACGTCCCTGTGTGGCAGCATTATGTGGAGAAATAAAGTATGGTGATATTTTCCTGTAACAGTAATTTGTGTCAAAATGAACTAAAATGATATGTCTTGAAAGTGAAGGAACATAAATGTACTAAAGGCTTCAATAACAGTTTTAATAAAAAAAGAACGGGAAAGTTGCTTCATAATTTGTTTTCAGAAATGCATAACTTAAACATACCTGGAAGAGGAGTGAATGCATAGTCATGATCTGCTCCAGCTGTTACCTCACTATCGATTTCGTCGTCTTGTGTGTCGTTAGAGGAAGGAATAGGAAAGGTTTCTATGGTTTGAACTCGAATTCTTTTGTAAACCGACTCTCGTGAAGTTTCTCCCCAGTTGTTCCACATAAATCGGGAGGGGACAGCCCCTTTTCTGAGGCGCTTACGACCAGTAGCGGCAGTGTAATTAGCGTCGGTACAGTGCCGGCTACAAACAAATGTGCTGCCTCTAAGGATCTTAAACAGTGGGCCTTCTACGCGTCTAATAGCATGCATCCACTTCTTTGTCTGACAGTCGTCGCTTGGAAAAGCATGAAAACTCAAATATGGTTGTCGCTGCTTATTAGTTGTGCAATGAGGGACGCTACAGTGACACCTCGATGTTGCTTCAGCCATTGTTGTTTCGACCGGAAGTCGCTTTACACAACAAACGCTGAACCGGATGTGCGCTCTAACTTCCGTGAAAAAGGCCTAATGGTTAAGTCCGCCCCTGAGCGCACTGCGCATGCTCAAACTGAGCTTGAAGACGTAGTTGTGACGTGAGCAACCTGACTGACAGTTGTACGTCTTCTAGTAGCGGTGCCAAGAGGAATCTGAATCATTCCATTCTGAATCTTGCAGAGCCGGAGATCGTGAGTATTAGCTGTCCATGAGCAGCAGGAGCAACTTTATGACTCTCTATGGGCTTCTCCCTTGACTTTATGCCTCCACGTCCCCCGATTGCGCGTGAGCTTCTACATCTGTCTTTACGGTCATTTCTCTTCTATGCGACAGAGAGTCGCGTGTTATGAAGCAATCATTAGCCTATTTTTACAAAAACTGCTTCTACGGGGCCACAACGTAAGATACAAGGTAATGGAGCATTTTATACATTGTCGTGTTTCTTTAGAAATAAATAATGGACAAATGGAGTCTTTAAACGCCTCAGATGTAAAGTTATTCGCTGTCAAAGTGACGCCAAAATGAATGGGAGTCAATGGGATGCTAACAGCAGGAGAAGGCTTGCTAGCCAATGGCGGCGCCCGGGGAGACTTCAGTTTCCGGCTGGTGGATTATCCCCTTGATTAGCCCAGTCATCACTCACTCGTGGATATCTGTCCCCGTGATGTACTCTGGAGTGTGTTCAGTCATCTGTGTGTGTGTGTGCCTTCAGAAAGACATCGGTCCACACCTCCACCTGCTGTGACGTCACGTCCTGCATCTGTGGCTCGTTCAGGATGAAGAACTTGATGTTTCTGATGATTGTGAACAAGGATTACCGTATATGGTTTTCAGACTTAATAAAGAGTGATGGCTCACAATCATCATGTTTCATCTTCTGTTTACATGTGCTTTATATATGTGCATGATCAATGTTTGTATGTGAATAAACAGCATCTCTCCAGTAGACTTGTATTAAACCGACTGATTTAAATGGAGTAGTTTTGTAGATATATGCCAACATGTACTAAAATGTAATATTTAGCTTGAGACAATGCTATCTTGACAATGATTGAAAAGGTGATTTTTAAAGGCAAAATAAATATCCCCACTTGATGTAATGTAAAAGCAACAGATCATTTGCACACATTGAAAAGAACAACCAATCTTAAAAATAAAATTTATTAGCATCTCTCTAATATGTGTATAAATAAAAACATTTATAAGAAATAATGCATATACGCAGTATGAGCTGAACAATAACTGGATTATATGTGATACAAAGAAGAGGCTCGCTGACCTCGGCTTTTCTCGCTGTCTTTGTAACATATTCAGTTTCTTAGTATATGTCTGTGAGAATGTACCTCAAACTTTTCAAACAATATGCATACCTAGAAGTTTCAACACTACATTCGGTCAAAGAAAAGAACAAAAGAAGAACGAACGACAGAAGTTTAACAGCAACAACGGAAAGAAAAAAACATGAGTTTTGGCAGTTTTACAACTTTCAGTTAAGAGAGAACTTTGCAAAACGGCTTCAACATTAACGATTTCAAAACGGTGACAAAAACGTGAACATAAGTAACTGATGTGTAACTGATAAGTGCCTCGCTGTGATGATCATATCCAGGGGTGAGCAGCTTCAGTCCTGGAGGATCACACACACACACACACACACCTGATCGAGGGCTTCAGGATCACTAGAAAGCTACAGGAAGGAGAGTCATCATCAGGGTTCGAGTTAAAGGAGTAGTTCACTTCAGAGTTAAAATCTCCTGATAATTTACTCACACCCACGTCACCCAAGACGTTCATGTCTTTCTTTCTTCAGTCGAAAGAAATGAAGGTTTTTGAGGAAAGCACTCCAGGGTGTTTCTCCATATAGTGACTTCAATGGGGTCCAACGGGTCGAAGGTCCAGATGTGAGTTTCAGTGCAGCTTCAAAGTCTCGACACGATCCCAGCCGAGGAATAAGAGTCTCATCTAGACAATTTATCTGACATTTTATAAAGAAATAAACATTTATATACTTTTTAACCACAAATGCTGGTCTTACACGAGCTGTGATGCGACAGACATTACGTAATCACGCTGAAAGGTCAAGCGGGACGTAGGAGGAAGTGCAGACCCAGTGTTTACAGAGCCAACGTGCAAAGACTAAGTCAAACGCCATTCACAAAATAAAATAGAAGGTAAAACAACGATGTCACGATTTTGAAGTTGGAGGAGAAAATGAGAACCTTTTTGGAACCGAAATTGGGAAATTAAAGCGAGCATTTGTGGTTAAAAGTATATAAATGTTTATTTTTAGCCAGAAAGACGGCAGTCTGTCCTGGGTGAGCGGTCACTGGTGATGTGCTTGAGGCCAGGGATTATATCCTCCCTCATTTGTTTCACTTGCATGTTGTTTAGGTTCACAAAGCTTTTAATTGGTTTCTCCAGCACTGTAAACTGGAAAGAATTGCTGTAAAAACGACCAAATTCTGAAAGTAACAGTGTTTTCCACTAAAACAGTAATGTACTGTAGAAAACAAAGCATTCTGGGCAATAATTTGCGCAGTAAGCAACTGCTGTTAACTTACAGCCCATTTTCAACAGTAATCTACTGTTTATGTATTATTTAAGACACAATGCATTGTGGGCAGGTGCATTTTTGAAGCAATGGCGCAAGAGTTTGAGTACGAGTAACTTCGCCTATCCGTGTTCACAGAGATCATGACAGGGATATATGTGGGAAATAGAAGAAAACTAATAGGACACTAAACTGGAAGTGATTTCTCTCGCATCGCAATCACTCGAACAGTGACTGATGAGCTGGAACTGAACTAACGCTCGAGAGTGAAGAGACTGATTATAGACCCATTATACAGAGATGGTCAAATCCTGTCGATTCACCGTAACGCATCATTTATTCCCACGTGTCAAGGCTTTCAGACTGTATTTCCCGGTGTCACTCAGCCTGATGTTATTGTGAGTGATCATGAGATTGTACCTCTGAAGTGAACTCCTCCTGGAAGTGTGCAGGACTGAAGCTGCTGGCTCCCGATCCTCATCCCACAGCACACCGGACCAATACACTGGCTGTTTCTCTTAGTTTTAAATATCAGATAATAAACAGCACTGTTAAAATGATCAAAGTGAACCGGTTCTATCTTACACTTGAGAATAAAACCTTTGCATAATGAAGTGGTAAAATAAGATATATTTCATATTGCTAACAACATCTGTCAGTATATGCATGAGACTGGACCTTCGCTGTACCGCCGCGATCGAGATCACTGTAACTTCGGGATCTCCACCTCCATGATGCGTTTGGTCATGCTTTCAACACACACACGGTGCTTCAGATAACAGAAATACACTCTGAATTCAACAGATTTGCACATGTAACGAACAAACAAAACAAAAGAAAGTTGTCAGTTGTTTTGGTCTAAGGTAAAAAGAAAAGAAAACGACGTGTAACACCAGAAATGCCAATGGGCAACGCCTAGCTTTCCAATCACAACACTGAGAGACGCTGCCGTGAACAACGAAATAAAGAGGAACAATGCTGAATCGGCCTTCGAGTGTGTGTGTGTTTGCTTCTCTCACACACGTCCGTATTTTAACTATCGTACTAAAGCATCTTTCAAATGGGGAACGTAACGCCGAACAACCGAGTTAGTTTAACAGAGGACGAGAGTGAGTTACAGGAGTGAGATGTGCCAGTGTGTGACGGTTAAGAGTGACCTCTGACCTCTCTAAAGCCGGATGATGGATGGATGGATGGAGGAATGAAGGAAGGGTGATGTGCTCTTTGCTCATCCCATGTCTTTAGAGTGCAAAGATACCCTTATTTGACGTGTCGTGTGACGCACACACACATATATACACATATATAGAGAAGTACATGTGTGTATATTTGCTCTGATGTGTCCATGATTAAAACTCTGAGAACTCCTTTGCACATTTCTCTGTGAGAGACACGCGGATGTCCTCCTCCTCGTAGTCGTCGAAGTTGCTGGTGTCTCCGGGGCCTCTACACTTTGGTATGAACGGCGCCTCCACCTGTGGAGAAACACAAGTGTGTGTCGTAACGCCGCTCACTCCGACTATACTGATATATGCTTAGAAGCAGGCCATAGTTTAGTTATATAGGACTTTTAACGCAAGTGCTTTACACAATGTAAAAACACAATCATTAAAATACATACTGAAGAGCTATACACAGTACATAAACAAAAATATCAAGACCCAAAACACACAGAAGACATCCAATATAGTAACAATTTTAGTTCTCCTATTATACACTAATTTCAAAAACACTCAATTAATCTAAAAAATTAACTGGTAGTCTCTTCTGCTCACCGAGGCTGCATTTATTTAATCAAAAATACAGTAAAAACTGTAATATTGTGAAATATTATTCCAATGTAAATCAGCTGTTTTCTATGTGAATATCTAGTAAAGTGTGATTTATTCCTGTGATCAAAGCTGTATTTTCAGCATCATTACTCCAGTCTTCAGTGTCACATGATCCTTCAGAAATCACTCTAATATGATTTAACACAGATTTTTAATTAAAAAATCTGGGTAAAGACATTAAAAAAAACACCCTAAATTAATACTTTTATTCAAGTGACATTAAAGACATGTTACAAAACACTTACATTTCAAATAAATGCTGTTCTTTTGATCTTTTTATTCAAAGAATCCTGAAAAAATTAATCAGTTTCCACAAAAATATGAAGCAGCACAACGGTTTGCAAATAATCAATCACCAATAATAATTGATCATGTGACACTGAAGACTGGAGTAATGATGCTGAAAATACAGCTTTGATCACAGGAATAAATCACACTTTACTATATATTCACATAGAAAACTGCTGATTAACATTGGAATAATATTTCACCCTGGACCACAAAACCAGTCACAAGGGTCAATTCTTTTAAATTGAGATTCATACACCATCTGATTAAATAATCTTCCATTGATGTATGGTTATGACAATATTTGGCCTATTTGAAAATCTGAAGGTGTAAAAAAGAAAAATCGAAACATTGAGAAAATCGCCTTTAAAGTTGTGCATTTATGTTTGCTCTTGTCCTGCATTCACTCACAATAATATTGTTTTTTTATATATATTTACAGTAGGAAATTGACAAAATATCTTGATGAAACATGATCTTTACTTAATATCCTAATGATTTTTGGCATAAAAGAAAAATGGATGATTTTGACCCATACAGTGTGTTGTTGGCTATCGCCACAAATATACCCGTGAGACATGTGACTGGCTTTGTGTATTTTTGATCACATAAATGAGCAGAAGAGACTTCTAAAGTATATTCACATAGAAAACAGCTATTTTAAATTGTAATAATATTTCACATATTTCTGTATTATTGAATGCAGCCTTACTGAGCAGAAGAGACTATTTAAAATGTAAACTTCAGACTGGTAGAGTCTCTGGTCTGAACAGGAATCAGAAATGAACAACAACAACAGAAACACACACAGCTCTCACTATGGTGGAGGTGTAAACCAAGGCTCGAACGCCACGGCTGAAGACTGAGCATCATACCTTCCTCTCATAGATGGCGATCCAATCCGTGGTGGCGAACCACTTGTGGTTCTTGATGTCGCTGACCCCGTTCCTCAGGTTCCCGAAGCGCTTGGTGAGGTCCACCTGCAGCAGGTTCCTCAGCAGATCCTTCAGGTCCGAGCTGAAGTGCGAGGGGAACCGGACCTGCAACACACGCTCAACACGTCACTTCCCCCGGCCATCGGCCCAGACGCTCAGCTGAGCTCATAATGACCCGCCAGTACCTTTCCGGACACGATCTTCTCGTAGATCTGGATGGGTTGGTCTGCAAAAAACGGGGGGTATCCAGCCGCCATTTCATAAATGAGAACGCCGAGAGCCCACCAGTCCACAGCCTTGTTGTACCCCTACATGTGAACAGACATTAGTGATCGGCCCTGAGGGAAGTGTGTGTACGGAGTCAGAACAGTGTGAGGAAGACCTTGCTGAGGATGATCTCTGGCGCCAGGTACTCCGGAGTGCCACATAATGTCCAGGTTCTGCCTTTTACTCTTTTCGCAAAGCCGAAGTCTGTTACCTGTGCGGGAGACAGCAGTGCCGAGCGTTGAAGGCCAGATACACCAGTTCAATTACTAAGAGATATCATCACCATACTTCACCAGTTGATTAAAACAACTAAAAAAGGTTTCTGAAATGTTGTTTAAATATGAAAATGTGGCGTTATGTAATTAAATATGCACTAATTTCGAAAACAAAAATCTGCATATTGGATGAAGTCTGGTTCATTCTTTTCATATACAGTCAAACCAAAGTTTATTCAGACACCTTCAACATGTCTCACATTATCACAGTTTATTCACTATAGTTTAGAAATAAACATGAGTTCTCAGATCAGTGGATATTTGACTGGTTTTGTCCGTCCTTCTGTTAGACTCTCACACATGAATTTTGTTGAATATCTGTCGGCTGGTAAATTTAACTACACAATTAGATAATACCAGTTTAGCTTAACCAGTGACCAAGCAATGCTTCATGTTGTTCAGTCTGTGTGTGAAAAGAGCATTAGCAATTACAGAAAACACACTGAAGAAAACAGTGTCTGAATAATAATAATGTTTGGTCTCACATTTGTACATATTTTACTGGTAGTCACTGTATGAAGAATTTCTGGGTTTAATATATCACAGTTTGCTTTATTTTGCTCTCCTCACTTACATAAATGAACTATAGTGTCCTGCACACACTAGTGAAATAATATCAAAAATGATATCTGGTGTCTGCATAATTTTTGGCTTGACTGTATTAGAGTCAAAGGATTTTTACAGAGGCTCCACAAATAATAATAATCCACAAATCAGACAAAAATAAATACATTTTCACAATTTTTTTAGGAATACAATGTTGTATAAAATCAGGAAAATTATATATGAACAAAACCCATCAGTCAAAACCTTCAGAATATAGTTAATAATAAACCTGTAAAGTCTGAAGTGCAGATTTCTGGCTCAATGTAGGAGGAAAAACTCATTTCGAGAAAACCAGCTTTATACTGTAAAGCTATATACTGTAATTGAAATGTACAGTATATTTAAAGCTATATACTGTAATTGAAATGTACAGTATATTTAAAGCTATATACTGTAATTGAATGTACAGACGCAAACAGATAAAGTGCTCTAAAAGATAGTTAAACGTGTATTTTGGAAGTTTTCTTTCCACTAGTCTGAAAAAATTAAAAATAAAACCCCAAAATTGACAGATGCATTTTTGCCTGTAGTGTCTCACCGTAAGTGTGCTGAATAATCTTTTATAAAAATAAAATAACATGCACATATCCATATACAGCCGAGCCATCTCAGAATGGCCTTTTTCAGCACACGGTGTTAAGAGTTTCTGTGAAGCCCGGGAAACAAGCCGACGGCAAAGAACCAGCGGCGATGAAAGTGTGTTTCTCGGCCAAAAAGATGCGCTTGAACACAAAGGCGGCCTAAAGGAGGCGTCCACTAGCGTGTGTGTGAGGACACATCTGTCTGTATCAGCAGCTAATAGTCTATTTTCATCATTCATAAAGGAGGACTGCAGATTTACACACCGTCACCAAAGCAGCACAGTGTGAATATCAGTCAGGCTGATCACACTCTATTCCAGTCGGCTCATGCTATTATGGAAATATCCCGTCATTTGAATGTCCAGGTAAGATGATGTAAAGGTATAACAGCTTTCTGTCTGTGCCGGCATGACTTCTTTGCTCCCTTTCATCACTAGCCGAGTTTTCATTACAGACTTTTGCCGGGTTTTCTAAATGTCGATAAAAAGCTAATTGCGAAATGACTGGGTTTCCATTAGCCGATGTTATGCGACTTAAACAATAATCACGATAATCGTTCCAAAAATCATGGCGACGGATGTTGGTGGGTTTACGCATAGATATCGATAATAAAGGCTAGATGTCTTACGGCGGAGTCTCTATCGTCATCACCGGCGGCCATCTTGTCACAGGCAAGGCTCTGTGGTGCCTGATGTAAGATGAGTGATCAGCACGAACACAAATACTCTTATCTCGTCGAAATCTTGACGGATTTACAAACGGTTTGGTTTCTTACAAACATTATTAGCGTGGCTATAATTCTGGATGATTATTTATTTATACACTTATTTTTCATAAGTGTGCAGTGTCATAACTACATCTCTGACGTTTATAACAAACCAAACCGTTTGAAAATCGGTAGAAAATTGAGCAAGTTATGGTTATTTAAAAAGTGCATGCAACATTAAACACAATGTTAGGAGTGAGCGAGCTGCCTGTGGCAAGATGGCCGCCAGGTGCGGACGTCCACCTCCATTGGCTAGCAGCGCGGACGAGACATCTAGCCTTTATTATGGATATCTATGGGTTTACGTATATCGCAGCAACGAGCCCTTACTTTTATTTGAGGGAGTCGTAGGCGTGTTTTCCAAGCATTAATTGCAAGGAAAGACTCATATGAGGAGTGAGGAGTTTCTCCCTCATTTCTGCTTCAAGCTCTTAATAAACTGTGGCATTTCTTTGTTGTTTAGAATCCAGTATTCCTGTAATACTTTCGTCTTGTATGAGTTTAATGAAGACTGTGATGTACGTCAGGCGACTGTAAATGTGGAAAACTGTTTCCATTGCAGTGTTGCAAAATATTCCTTTATCGAATTGCCTGAAAAACCACCTCACATGAGCGTAAAAAGTTTTTTGCGATATATGTGAGTTTTTGAGAAATTGACGTTTCCAATGGGCGTATTTTCAATTCGCAAATTCAATTTGCGCTAGTGGTGCAACGGATCACAAAACTCAACGGTTCGGATCATGAACGGTTTTTCAGCCACGGATCGGATAATTTTTCAGATCAGCAAAAATGTTTTTTTTCTAAATGATATATATATATATATATATATATATATATAAGGGGTGGGGGGGGGGGGTGGGGGGGTGTGACTGCTTTTCATTTATTACTTAAAGCTCACTCGAAGTACTTCGATACCACATAAACTACTAGCCTAACTGATAAAGTTCAAACATTAATAAAATAAAAAAACAGTCAGTTATAAAATAAGAACAAATACACAAATTACAAGCAGAGATTAATACTAAATAACAATTACAAAGTCTTACAGTAGTATTCAGGTACAGAAATTAATAATTAGCCCTAAATGTAATATAATACTTTTTTGTTCACTGGAAATTAAATAGTTTAATTTTTGCTAAAGCTGTAATTTTGTTGTGTTATTAACATTAATGACACAGACAACAGTGGGAATATTAGGCTACTGTCACTTTAAGACAAACATCCGGTTTCTTTCTCAACTGTTCACTTATGATGACATAACCGAGGGAATACTTGCCCAGACGGTATTTTGACACACGTTGTGTGTATGTGTCCGTTCAAGGACAAGAAAACACGAAAGAGGGATCAATTCTGTGTTCGAGCGCTGTCTGAAATGAGTCTCTCTCTCTGACTTACGATTTTCGCCTCTTCATCCACGTTTAAAATTGTTTGAATGTGTAAATTGGCAAGACAAAACACGTCCAAATAATAAACTTTCACTCTATGATGGTTAAACTCAGCGGTTAATCTGCGAATCACATGCGTGGCGAGCCGCGGGGCAGCCGCTCCGTACGGATCATGATCACCTGTGACCCGTCCACCCCTAATTCCCGCAATTTGAAGGGTAATGAACACATGGCTACTTTCGCTTTTAATCTCTTGCACCAACTCGTTTGATAAGCTGAACAGCCAATCAGAGTTCTCGCTTTCACCGACGGATATACAAAAATACACGATGCTTAGCTTAGAGGAAAAAGGCACTGCGCACCAACACCTCTTCTCCTCTGAGAAACTGGTGGATTCATGAAGTGTATAAGGGTATTTTACAGGAGAGTGTGAGGATGACGGTTCACAACCTCAAGCTTTAGAGACGCAACAGTCAATGACGCAGAGTAAACCAACAGAAAACACATGTTCTCCTTATATTTCAGATCATGAAATATAGGCTGAAACATTGATAAACAGAAATATCGACAGACTTGTGTGGAGGAATGGTCCAAAATGGGTCAAAAGTCGTCCAAGCAGCTGCAAGAAACCACTGGAGGACGAGTGTGCTGCTAAAGGAGGATCTACAGGTCACTACTCAAGGGTTCACTTACTTTCGCACTGTGAACGACTCAATGCGTTTGATATCAATGTGAACCTACAACTGTCTGTGCAGTGTGCACTATATTAGTCAGATCTTGATTTAACTCACAATTAGACGATGTTATTGGGAATAGATGCTAAAGGGTTACCTGTATGTAGCCCTGCTGGTCGATGAGTAGGTTCTCCGGTTTCAGGTCTCTGTAGATGAGGTCTAGTGAGTGGAGGTACTCGAAGGTCAGGACGATCTGGGCCGCATAAAACCGTGCGTGTGGTTCACTGTCGATCAGACCAATCACATCCCAGAGTTAGACAGCGAGACAGAACACACACAAACCCTGGATCAGGAATCAAGTCTCCGCATAACGCAAACAGTTACACAGGGGAATAAGAGTGTCCGATAGCAATAGGTTTCACCCTGATATGAAAGTTACGGAGCCCCTAAAGGGACATGGAGGCGGGGGGAAATACATATGCGCTCGCTTGCAAATACCTCAAATGTTTTGCGAGCGAACGCAAAGTTTCTCATGGGAACGCGAAACATTTGTGAGAGAATGCAAAAGCACTTACATATCATATTTTATTCCATCACCATGTCCTTTTCCGTAGAGAATTATGGAGTCTCGTTACATTTATTTGGTATTGGGAATGACTACTGAATGTGTGTTTATTATGAACACTGCTGAATATAGTAACACTTTCTGACACATCCCAAAACATGATACAACTAGGGGTGTCTCCAGGATCTGCTTTTGAAGAGATATCGTAGTATAGCGCGTTCTATCATGTTTTCCTTAAAGGTTCACTTCAGGATTTAGCATTAAGCTTTGTATTAGTAGAAAACCTGTATTATTTTCAAATTACCGTGTTTTTCACCCTCATATCCCCCTGAGACGAGAGATTTATGTATTTTTTGTCTGGAAAAAATCCTCCGATGATGCAAAAATCGAGTGCAAGTGCATTCTGGGAGTTGTTGTCTTTCATCCACATAAGCCAAAAATACATTTTCTGGCTTTTCTCAGTCTAGAAAGCTCCAAATTCAAAAATAATTTCACATTTCTTCTACATAAATGACCCATTTTAAATACACATTCATCTTTCCAGAGGTGAAGTATCCCTTTAATAGTAAACATGCTGCTGTTTTGGAGGAACTATCCCTTTAATGTTAATAACACAACAAAACAGAGGAAATCACTCACTGCTCTTGACTGACAACTTTACAAGTAGCTTTAATAAGAATCAATGTATAATTTATACAGTGAAGTCTATGTAGTGTTTTATTTTCATATTTGTTCATTTAAATTTCTTCAATGCTACTGTTAAACACACCTATAGTACTGTAGCTGAACAAATAAAGCACTGTTTATTTCATTTGTATATTAAGTTGTGTATGTGTAATGTGTATCTTTGCTCTTAATTTTTAATAACAAAGAAAATAAAGACAAAGATTTTTATCTTCGCCACTTTGGCCTAAATGACTGCCTTTCTTTTTATATATTTTTTAACCTATAAGGCTTTGTTTTTAAAATAGGGACATTAGTTTGGCTGTAATGCACAGTCACTTGCAAAATAGTAAAACCAACATGAAAAAGAATCGTGTTTGACATGCATGCACACACTTGAGTTCATGAGTGCTGTCAGGAGGAGACATTTTGTAAAAAGGACATTTACAGAGAGTATAACAAACACAAACACAAAACTTCAAGCACATTACCCACTTGAAACAATGCAATAACTCGACAAACTAGTAATTCTTCTGCACCATTATCCAAGTAACATTTTTTTTGATAACAATAATAAGCAATAATTCCATAAACGAAGTTCGGCAGAAACGAGGACAGCTTCACTCACCTAAACCGGCCGATTCTTCTGAGGTGCGAGAACATCTCTCCTCCTGGCACATACTCCATCACCATATACAAATTAGAGTTGTCCTGCGAGAATAAAGCCACATGAAGACTGAGAGAGTAGGAAACCACACTCCTGGACATACTACTCGACTGTTACATAACACTGTTTCTCAATTTCTTTCAAACCGTTTATGGTTTGGTTTATCTTTTTCTATGTTTAAATTACTATCATAGCCAACATAGTAAAATAATAATATTAAAAATTTTAATAATAACTCGTTATTCTGCTTACAATTCAGTGGTGGGACACAAAGTCAGTTCTCTGATGCTTAAACTCGTGCATCTCAATGCTTTTATGATGAAAAATGAATGTAAGCAGTCGATTGTAAACGGATAGGACACATATCACAGATCTGAGCATTAGTCTATCAGACCTGCTGCTGTCTAAGCTGACATTAATGCTAATAAAGAATTGCTTGTAATGTATTTTTGTTCCTCATTAATGTCCGTTTACTAGTTTTGAAGCTATATTCAGATTCCTGTTGATGTTTTTCTAACAAAACTAAGACAATCTCTAATTTCTATAAGTAACACTGTTGCTTACATTTGTTTTGTTTGTTTTTTAGCTTACAAATAAAGAAACTTCCAGAAAAGATATTAAAATACATGTACACCAAAGATAAAAATTAAAAGGGAAACTTAAAACAAGTCACTAAATTAAAGCTATAGTAAGTTGGAGAATGTTTTGTAAATTCTGTGTAGATTTGGAAAGCAGCACCAGGAGATAGAAACACTTTACAATAAGGTCTAACTTGTTAACATTAGTTAATGTATTAAATAACCAGGAGTAATACATTTACAGTATTTATTAATCTGTTAATGTAAGTTAATATTTAATATTTGTTCATGAACATAAATGTATGAGTAAACGTTGATATGAAGCAACTAAGATGAATAAATGCTGTAGAAGTGTTGCTCATGTTAGCTAATGAACCCTCACTGTAAAGCGTTACACACTCGTCCAGGGGATGTGTTCAGCTCCACTGAAAGGGCCAAATATTGTGTGCTGAACAGTGTTGGGGAAGTTACTTTTAAAAAGTAGTGTTTGCTCGTTACTCGTTACTTCTTAAAAAAAGTAATCTGTCACTTTACGCCGTTTCCCTCTATGGAAAGTAACTTTTTACGCTACTCGTTACTTTTAGTTTGCTTGACTTTGGGCAGAACCCAATATCTGTTCCTAAATGTGTAGGCCTACATGTAGTTCTACTATGAACTCTACTTATTGAAAAACTAGAAGAAGAAAAAAAGATTGAGAGAGAAAAAGAGAGATTTTTATTAAATAACATTTGAAAAACCTGTATAAACTGAACACCAAAGAACAATATTAACTATTGAGTGGTGGTGACGCGTTCATGAAAGCTGTCACAAAGAACCAGCAAAAGTAATGATTATGAATATGTCAAATATAGCAAGGAGACATTTCAGTTGTTTATTATAAGCAAGTGTTTTCTGTGTCAGTGTCGGCTGCAAAGATGAAGTTGACGATGGTGACTCGCGATCTTCGCAGTAGAGAACGCGCCGGAGAGAAATGCACATTTCATACGGATTACCTAAGCAGAGAGCAGTCCGTTTTCTTTTGTTTTGAATTGTTTTGTTTAAAAGTAGACATTTCAAGCTTTCTATATATATCTCAGGTCTGTGAGGAAAGTAGCTTATACGCTGAGTTCTGGTTCATTTATGAGGCGACCTCCAGTTCACGCGCCGGCGCGGAGCTCCTGAGAAGTCCTGATATTTCCTGCTATATTTACTTCTTATTTATTAAATCCAGGCAATATGCCAATCCTTAATATTTGGGGTTTTAAATGCCTGTTTGAGGTCTCGGTGAAAGTTTTAAAGCAGTCTTTTAGAGCCGCTTTCAGAGCGGTCACGTCCGTAACATTGTTTTTTGCTCATAAATGCGAACAATGTTGTGTAAAACAAACAAAATGTCAGGTACCTTGAAGGCATATTCCAATCTGACGAGGAACGGGAACGATACGGCTTGTAATATCCTCTTCTCATTTAGCGTATGCTCCACTTGTTTCAACTTCACCACCTAGCAAACAATACATAAACAAGAATTATTGAGCAGATCATCATCATCATCATCATCATTCACGCTGTATTTATTTAGAGCGGGGTCTCGATTCTGATTGGCTGAATTTCAATCCGTTGTAACCTAGCTGTGTATTATCCCTTACATGCTGATCCAGGGCTTGACATTAGCATCAGCAACCGCGTGTGTGTTTCAGCAGTGGTGTGTAACACTCACTCCTAACTACACACTTCAGCGGGTTGAATTTATATAATATACATTTTTCAATTGTAGTCTTTTAAAAAGGCATCTGAAATAATAAAGTAAGTACAATGTAGTGTTGTCAAAAACATGATGCTACTAAAATCACAGGTGTCACAGGTGTGTGTTTGTGGAGTAACACTAATGTAATGCGGCCACAGGTGTGTGTTTGTGGAGTAACTTACAGCGGCTTCGCACGCAGTTCAACCAATCAGAATCAAGGACTGGAACTATCCGTTTTATAAGTGAATGTAAACAGTTGAGAAAGAAAGCGCATGTGTAACAGTATAACGGACCCGTGCGTCAGGTCTTAAAGTGACAGCAGCCTAATAAACCTGCGGCCAAATCATGAGATAATATTAAAAATATCTATTTAGCAGTTTTTCCCCATGGTATCGATGTCAAAATGGTGGCCAGTGAAAATGCTGAGTGGCTCGTAACTTTACCACAGTGGCTGATGAGCAAACTAGTTAATCTCAAGCCCTGTATTTATCCAAATTATTAAACTGTGAAAGCATTGATGATCCTTTTGTCTTTTACTTTAAACAAGAACTGTTAAACGCATGACATGTTTATGGTGTGTAATACTGAGAGAGAAATCCTAAACGCAGTGCAGTCCCACAACCCACCTTCTGTTTGTCCAGCACTTTCATGGCGTAGAACTGATCTGAGGCCTTATGTTTGACCAACATGACCCTGCCGAAGGACCCTGTGCCCAGCGTCTTCAGTCTGTCAAAGTCATCTAAGCCAGTTGTGCTCTTTAGGGACAACAAAACACACATTTTAAAGACATTATCCTACAGTACTGCATCACTACCAAAAAAACAAAGCAAAAACAAACCCTGACCTGTGGTGGTGATTCCCATTTTCTCAAGAAATCTTCTTTGGCTTTGGCTAGAAACTCTTTAACTGAAAGGAGGGAAAAACAAAAACACCATTTCAGAGTCCAAACGAGCAAACTAGCTGGACTTAACTCAACTACTCGACATTCAAAGATACAAAGTGAACGAGGGAATGTTTTTCTAGCTACTTATACTTTCTAGACATGAAAATCAGGCAATCTCACAAGGCAACCGTGGACATCAGTGGTGAACAGGAGGTCTTGTGAAGCATGCATTACTGATTAACACATAACACAAGAACAACACAGCAGACTTCAGTTGACCGCAGTGACGGAGAAATGAGCCAATCATTACATCTACTGGGGCTTTTCTTTTACATCACACAAATGCTTCTCCGCCACTGCGGTAACCCAACGTAATCGTGATCATACCAAAAGTCTCTACAGATCACCATGGATTTTCAGGAACATTGACCCACATGGATGGGATGATGAGGAATCAGAAAGAGAAAAAGGAGAGAAAGACAAAGAAAGATACAAAAGAGAGATTTCTGTCAAACAATCACATCAGTTAGACGGTGCAAGACATGGATTAGACGTGACAAGAGATACTAGACAAGATAGGATGCTAGCCATAGTTCACAGGATCATTGGAGAGCAATGTGTGCACGTGGGTCTGGGCACTGTCCCATTCCCTAACAGCTAGAGTCTGTCTGAAGGGTTTCACAAGCGCAGACGTCTTCCCACCGCCTCATCCTTTTATGGTGTTCCTGCTCCGCAAGTATGCGACGGCCTGGAGCTAACCGGGTTGTAAAGCACAGCTGGTTAATGTAGACACAGACTGGAGCGGTTCGGGGTTTAGGATGAATTTATGGAGATGTTGTGCAGAAGAACTGATTTTGAGCTGATATTTGGCAGAATTAGAGATGTGCCAGGATGGTCCAACAACATACTCGTGTTATAACGGATAAACAGAGCTAACTGGATATGTAATAGCAAACTTCTAATTAAGGGATAGTTCACCCCAAAAATGTAAATTCTGTCAGTAATTACTCGCCCTCATGTTGTTCAACCCCGTAAGACTTTCATTCATCTTCGGGACACAAATTAAGATATTTCTGATTAAATCTGAGAGCTGGATCACTCCTCCATAGGCTTCTTAAGGGATTGAAACTGGCCGGCCCAGAAAAGTTATTAAAGACATCGTTAAAATAGTCCGAGTGACGACAGCGGCTCAATCTTAAGTTTATCAAGCAACAAAACATTCAATCAGAGATCAAGAGTATTGTGAAGGTGTTAGATGTATAAGTGTTGTATTGTTTTGAAGATATAATATGTGATGTGTAAGTGTATGTCAACGTGGAATGTATGTTTAGATGTACGTTGTATGTATGTAGTATTATTTTGAAGGTATAATATGTGATGTGTAAGTGGATGTCAATGTAGAATGTATGTTAGATGTTGTAAACATACACTGTTATGCAAGAAAAATTTCAGACTCGTCTGACAATAAAGTATAAAGTAAAGTAAAGTAAAGTAAAGCAACGAGAATACTTTCTATGCGCAAAAAAACAAACAAAAATAACGACTTTATTTCAACGATTCATTTCCTTCTCTGTGGGCCTCGAGTGAGTTCACGTAGTGAAACATCTAGGGCTGTCAACTTTATGCAATGAGCTCTGACTGTCAGCTCGGGCCTGTGGACAGCAGAGACAGTCTCTAGTAAACAACAGAAAGCCATTTAATTAATTAAACGCTGAGCTCATGAATAAACCAGCGGCTACTTTCACATAATCTTAAACTGAATACGACTATAAACATATGGTTGTCTAAAACTAATTCAACCGTGTAGAAAGCTGATAACTGGTCCCCTGTAACGAGTATGAGTCGATCTGTGTTAATGGTCAAACGCTTAAAACATGTTGATGTTCCAGAGGAACGCATAAGTGTGATTAGTTCATTATTTACTGACATTCTTGTTTTTCCAAGCCCATATATATATGTATGATTAATACAGTAGTCAACATTTGAAGTGGATCAAAACCTTTCATCAAAGTTATACATGACTTTTGAACAGGACAACTTTGATTAGCCTAACTTTTTTGATTCATTTCAAATGTTGACTACTGTATATTAATATTTCCCCCTGCAAAGGTCATCATGGAGCTCTTTTCCATTGAACTACAGTTCAGGCTCCAAATTGGACCAAACAAAACATGCCGTGGCCAATCTCACGACTTACGCCAGGTCCACACACACACTCCGCTTGCAGAACATATCCCGCACTTCTGGGGGATGGTCCAAATTAATTAAAATTACCAGTCACATTTAATATTATTATGTATTAGATTGAGGTATGGTTATGATTAGGAGTAAGTGTTCAGGGTTAGAGTAGGCGATAGGGTTTGGGTCACGGTTTAGGGTTAAAGTTAACAGTGTAACTAACTACTAGGGCTGCGCGATATACCGTTTTAGCATCGATATCGCGATGTGTGACGTCAAGTATAAGGTAGGGCTGGGCGATTTTATCGATTCTGCGATATAAATCGATATTTTTTTTCCAAAGAAAGTATCGATTTTTTAGCCGCGAGTATCGATACATACGTCCCATTCAAATCCCCTGTGTTTACCCCCGTTCGTGTTGCAGGAAGAGCGATTTGGTCAGCCAGCCGCTAGTGTTGCTGTAGAGCAAGTTACCCGTACAAAATGTACACAGACGCTGACGTCTAACTCTTCCTGTTTACCAAGTCAGAGCGAGGATATTCATAGAATGGCGGCGAATATAAATCCGGCACCCGCCTGCTTAAAAGCAGATGTGTGGGAGCACTTTGGTTTTAAAAAAACAAAGGAAAGCAACGACTTGGATAAAAGCGTCGCGGTTTGTAAGCTATGTGGCACTAAAGTTAAGTATTCCGGCAATACCACAAATTTACGAGCGCACCTAAAACGTCACCACCTGGACAAGTTTATGCTTACGGAGGACCCAAAGCAGCAGCGGCCGCGTGACCCAAAACAAACTACGCTGGACATTGATGGCGGTTGTTCCCACAAGTTTCCGTCTGCTTCACCAAGGTCGCAGAAAATTACAGAGTCCATTGCCTACTTTATTTGCCAGGATTTGAGACCATATTCAGTGGTGGAAAACCCCGGCTTTAGGCGCATGGTGAACGCGATGGAGCCCCGCTATCCGATTCCAACCCGCGAACACCTCACCAAGGTTTCCATTCCCGGGCTGTACGCTCAGACAAGGGCACACGTTAAAGCCTCCCTGGCCAGCGCGGAGAGAGTTGCCCTGACGTGCGACGGCTGGACCTCGCGCACAACTGAAGCGTATGTTACCATCACGGCCCACTTTATCAACGAGGAATGGGAGCTCGTTACGTATGTTTTACAAACCAGGGACATGCCCGAGAGCCACACCGGACACAACCTGGCAGAACATCTGAGAAAGGCCCTCGCTGAGTGGGGAATCACAGAAAAGGATCCAGTAATCGTCACTGACAATGCCTCAAATATGACAATCGCAGCTGAGGAGGCAGCATTCACACTTCATGTCAAATGTTATGCTCATACACTAAATCTAGCTGCACAGCGTGCCCTCAAAATCACAGCAGTCGCACGCCTGCTGGGAAGGGTGAGACGCATTGTGAGTTTCTTCAGACGGAGCACCACAGCCAACCACATGCTGAAAGAAAAACAGAGGCTTCTACGACTACCAGAGCACAAGTTGATGACGGATGTAGTTACCAGGTTAGTGTGTGGTTACTTTTCAATAGTTTATTTGTTTTTTTATTACTTATTCATTTATTAATTACATTATTATTTAATTTGTTTAGTCTTTTATGTAAAGCATCCATGCTGTCTATAAATAAAATATAAATAAAGTATATTTATTTTATTTAACTACAGATGGAATAGTGCGCATGACATGCTGGAAAGATTCCTGGAGCAACAACCGGCCATCTGCGCAACCCTGCTCTCGAGTGAAGTCAGGAAGACCGAGAAAGATCTGTGCACACTGACTGAGTCAGATGTGACAACAGCTGAAGAAGTAGTCAGCGCTCTGAAGCCTATGAAAGAGGCAACACAGTACATGTCCAAGGAGAAGACCCCCACACTGTCAGTCGTCGCACCCCTCCAGGACACACTGATCAACGGACTGAAACCGATCGAAGGTGAATCTGCAGTCATAAAAGAGATGAAGGCTGCCATGGCTGGGGATCTTCAGAAGAGGTATATGGACCTCAAGGCAACTCTCCATGCCTGTTCAGCGATGGATCCAAGATTCAAAAGTCTTCCCTTCCTGACTGAAGATGAAAGACAGGAAGTTTATGATGGACTGATTGTAGAGGCTGCAAGACTGAGCATGCAGCCATCAGAGGTAAGGCAGTGATGGTACTGCTACTAGTTTAAAAGGCAAATCCGACATCAGTTTAAAATAGATAAATATTAAATAGTTTTAAAAGCATAATTAAATACTATAATGTTAACAGGTTTAAATGCATATTTAATATAGTAATTAAAAGATTTATACAATAAAAGCTCATGAATTTCATTTCATGTTGACTTATTTAATTTAGTCACTTTGGAGTGTGGATGAAGAGGGCACAGCAAATGCTCATGCTCATGATGAGGGGATGGCATCTAAAGAAGATAAAGACGCTGTGGATGAAGGAGAGCATTTCATGGAAGGAGTGAGCAGTCAAGGTCAGTAGTATTACCCATTGTTATCCGCACTGTGTGTTGTCTGAACTTCTGTGCAGGAAGTATGGAATGTGCTTAACTATAAGTAATGTTTTTTTTGTTTTTATTGTTTATTTATTTGAAGGTCAGCGTCCTCCACCCAGGAATCCAAGGCCCTCTTGTCCACTGGCTGCCCTTCTTGGTGAACGATACGGTGGTGGTGCAGCACGAACCAAGAAAAATACCCAAGAGGACGAGGCCAAGGAGCAGATGACCCGCTACAAGGAGGCAGATCTCCTGGAAGTGAAAGAAGATCCACTGGTCTGGTGGAAGGAGCACCAGTATCAGTATCCACTCTTGTCACAACTTGCTAAAAGGTACCTCTGTATCCCTGGCACTAGCGTTTCCTCTGAGAGGGTATTTTCCACAGCCGGAGATATCATCACTGCTCAGAGAAGCGCACTTCTCCCAGAGCATGTGGATCAAATTATTTTCCTAAACAAAAATCTGAAGACAATGTAGATCACTTGGTCTGCAGTTATGTGGAGAGGAGAGTTTGTTTAGTGTTCACTTAAGGCCTTAAGCTACTTTGCTAAGATGGGTAAAAAAAAATTCAACTTGAATTATTGTCTGGCTGCCATGGTTTATTTTTTCTGCTGGCTAGACTGGCTACCTCACATACGTGTAGGCTTACATGCCTTAAAATACTCAGCTAAGTTTTAAGTTAAATGTTCTTATTGACTTGAATTATTTGATGTTTTGGAGAAGCCATGGTACTACTATGTTTACTTACCTGGCGGCTTGCACCTTCATTGTTTCATTGCTTCATTAACTCTTCATTGTTAATTGCAAATTGCAATGTTGCACTTTATTTACTTTTCAAAGTCTTGTAAGCTACAGTTTGCACTGTTTCAATAAATGGAACTAATTTTCTCAACACATCTTTGATTAATTTTGTCCAGCATTTATTTTGCAAGCTGTCTGATGTTTTTGAGTTTTCATTTAAATTAATCCAAGTAAATGAAACACTCACAAGATGTCACCAAAATCACTCTGTCCCCTTTAAATCTTTCAGAAAATGATGTAAGTGTATCGAATTATATCGAATCGTATCGAATCGTATCGTAGGCTGAATATCGTGATATATATCGTATCGTGAGCTGAATATCGTGTATCGTATCGTATCGTGAGATTAGTGTATCGCTACAGCCCTAGTATAAGGGTCGTCGTAGTTGATCCGTACGGGCCAGCTGTCCCCCGATTCGGGACGCATGCGATTCGCAGATTAATTGCAAAGTTTAACCATCATAGGGTGAAAGTTTATCATTTGTGCATGCGTTTTAAGTCGAGTCAGGCATCAAGAGCAAGAGGACTCGCGCACTGCTTTCTGTGCACACACACACACACACAGAGCCGCGCAGACATGATTACCTTATGAAAACCCCAAATTCAAATTAGAATATTGTAAAAAGGTTTTCATAAGCTGTAAGCCATAATCATCAAAATTATAACAAATACAGGCTTGAAATATCTCACTTTGCATGTAAGGAGTCTATATAATGTATTAGTTTCACCTTTAAGTTGAATCACTGAAATAAATTAACTTTTGCACCCTATTCTAATTTTTCGGGTTTCACCAGTATTTTTGCTGAATTAAAGTGACAGCGCATTGTTTGCATTGGATGGACACAAATTGTAGTAATTTCACCACAAATGCACACGATTAACCTCTACTACCGTCCTCACATGGCTTTTTGCCCGGTGTAAAGCAAGGAGAACGACACCTCACCTCAACAAGGAGATATAACGGACGGCACTCGTCTCTCTCGGAGGTGGAAAAACAAGTTCTTTATGACCCGAAGGATTTAAATGCTAAAGAGAAGGCATGAGAGTCGGCTGTTTTTCTCAATAGTACGTTTTAATTAGGGCTGCCCCCTAATTGTCCACTAAACGTTAGTCGACGAAACTTTATTAGCAAGTTAATCGCAGTAAAAGAAAGAGTCCACCGGAAATTAAGTCACGCAGGCTTTACAGTATATCGGGCAGGACATTTCCCTATCATCCATCGACCTCAAATATGGCTTATCATTTGAAACATACTAATAGCAAATTTACATGGTCGCTCACTCTAACCTAGATAGATGTGTGCTATCATTAGACATATCCAAGTGTGTGTGTGGAGTGTGGAAGCTGAAGATTAGCGCGTTTAGTAGGACTTGAGGTGATAGTATCAGGCTCCTTGGTCTACATATTTAGTTTAGTATGGAGGTGTTACTATTTGATTTGCTATAGATGGATGGAAATTAATGAGATGCATCAATTTGTTTTGTATTTAATTAAAAGTTAAAGATAGAGATAGGGGGTAGGACCCGAAAAGTTTGTTATGAACTTCTTCCTACTCATTTTTGAACATGGGAAATTCTAATTTGATTTACTTACAATAATTTTTTGGAATATTGTGCTGAGATGTACATGATTTTATATAGCCGTTATTTTAATTTGATATATGTATGCATGTCTGTATATATATTTGTTATTTTTTTTCTTCAAAATAAAGAAAACAAACAGGATGTGGTTTCTGCCGTCTCGGTCTCCGTGAACAGGCGCACGGCACAAAAATGAACAAACTCAGTATATACTTGCCTCACAGAGATATAACATTGCATAGTCTTTCTATAGATATATGCATTTCATTAATTTCATTGTTTTATTAAATATCTGTATATTATTAGGCTAGTACTAGGCTAAATTTTGCATTTCATTCATGTCTTTTTCTGTTGAATTTGTCTTATTGTTTTAATTGTTTTATTGCATGGTGAATAGCATTAGCTCACTGTTGTTGGTCGCCAGTGAAACGGCTCTGAAAGAACAGATTAAGGGCTCTGGGGTCATTTTAATGAACAGCGGCTCCCGGATAAAGTTGTGCTCACGGCCCCCAGAAGTGCGGGATATGTTCTGCAAGCGGAGTGTGTGTGTGGACCTGGCGTAAGTCGTGAGATTGGCCACGGCATGTTTTGTTGGGTCCAATTTGGAGCATGAACTGTAGTTCAATGGAAAAGAGCTCCATGATGACCTTTGCAGGGGGAAATGTTAATATACAGTAGTCAACATTTGAAGCGAATGAAAAAAGTGAATCAAAGTCCTAAGACAAGAACGCGTATTGTTCAAAAATCCATGTATAACTTTGATGAAAGGTTTTGATCCACTTCAAATGTTGACTACGGTATTCATACATATATATATGGCCTTGGAAAAACAAGAATGTCAGTAAATAAATAATGAACTAATCACACTTATGCGTTCCTCTCGAACATCAACATGTTTTAAGCGTTTGACCATTAACAACAGGTCGACTCATACTCTTTACAGGCGACCAGTCATCAGCTTTCTACACGGTTGAATTAGTTTTAGACAACCATATGTTTATAGTCGTATTATGTGAAAGTAGCCGCTGGTTTATCATGAGCTCAGCGTTTAATTAACTAAATGGCTTTCTGTTGTTTACTAGAGACTGTCTCTGCTGTCCACAGGCCCGAGCTGACAGTCAGAGCTCATTGCATTCATCCTCCGGGTCAGGACAGCTAGATCACCAGCTCACTCTCACACGCGTTATCTAATGTCAGCTGGAGATCTGGGGAACATGTGTGAACGATAAGAGACGGCGTTTGGGCGAGTGTTTTGCTACTGATACAGGCCTGGCCCTCTCTCTTAACTAGCAAACAGCTTATTAGCCTCTAACTCCATTGCATAAGTTACGAAAACAAAAGCCCTTTTCCGTTTTAAAGTCGCAGGTTAACGTTATATAAGCATTTCCATTGGTGTGGAAGAATGACCGCCACTGAGAGCCTCAGGCCTCAGATCAAGCTTAAGCTAGCTCGACTCGCTCTGTGGTTTCTACATGACACACACACAGCAGCGTGATTTACACACAGAAACATTATTGCTGGTTATGGTGAAGACAGAATGAGCGTGGATCTCCTCGCGATGACACTTTTGGAAACGCAGTCCTGCACTCGCTAAGCGGCTAACTAGCATTAGCACAGGCTACAAAGGTAAACAAACAGTGACATTCCCCGAGCAGCGAGGGCTTTATAAAGCACGGCAGGGCGACCCAGCGCTCCTCCTCTTACCGCTCTCCAGTTCATTGCCTTTCTTGGCGGTCGCTGCGTTCCCCATCGTGCGGTGGCGGGCGACGCGGGCGATCCTCGGGCGACACGAGAGCGAGTCCTTGGCGGCGCGTCAGCTTCCCTCGGGCCGCGTCTGATGGACGGAGGACGGGCAGATCAGCAGCGGGTCTTCTCTTCCTCGGGTCTCCGCCACGCTGATCGCGGAGTCTCTCTTGACTTTCTCACAGCTCTTGCTCTTCTTCTTCTTCTTCTTCAGCCGCTAAGCCGAGTCTTCCTCGGCTGTGGCAGAGACATGGCACTGCGAGCAGAGACAGCACTGATACTGACACCTGCTGGACTCATGTGATGTGAGCCACACACCAGGCTAAATACAATCATTTTTTTTATTTTTATAATAATACTATTTACCATCCTGTTGGCAAAAATGTGTACACACAAGTACCTGCTGTTTCAAGAATAAAAAATACTATGATGTAGGAGTGTCACTCTACAGGTAGAAGCAACTGTAAACAATAATGTAAAAGTAATGCAGTGCAATTTTGCGTATTACTCCCTTAAAAAGTCAAGTCACCTTCATTTATTTAGCGCTTTTAACACTATAGAAAATTTGTCAAAGCAGCTTTACAGTGATAATAGGAAATTAAAGTAACAGATTGTTTGGCTTTACAGCAGCTCTAGAATAAAGATATTGTCCAGATAAAGTTAGTTTCGATTGATTTACTTCCATTGCAAAGATTATTAGTTATTAACTTAGGTGCGCTAACACGACACCGCTCTAACAGAAAACCCTGAACACACTCCGGCCGCTCATCCGCACAACAGTGTCTGGTGCTCGAGAACGCAAACCTGAAGTAGTGAAATACTAACTGCGTTACTTTTTTCGAAAAGTAATGTGTTACGTTACTTTTGCGTTACTTTTTTTCTCCCTCGGGCTGGGCTTGTTTTTCTTTACAACAAAAAGAGTTATTTTTGGGTAAATGTAAAGACCCTTTCACACCAAAAGTGAAATAATAAACCTCAGGCTGAAGGAAATGCATATTCACTCATGTAGAGTAGAGGGCGCTCACACACACACTCACACACACACACACACACACACACACACACACACACACACACTCAAGCAAACTTTTCAGCTGCAGGGGCCTCATTTATAACCGTTGCGTACGCACAAAACAGGCCCTGAAAGAGGCGTACGCCACTTCCGACGCATAAGTTGTTGTAGCGGCACCCTATAGCCGCTGAGAGGCTAAGCAGCAGGAAATATCCGTGACGCGTTTTCTTTCATTGAATAACCAATAACATTTTATTGGCATGATAACAGACTATCCACGTAAAACATGATAAAGATACGTATAAACGGTCAACAGAAAGTGAGCACTCCCCGCTACTCACCCCCTCTCTACACAATGAACCAAACAGGAAATACTACCAGGTATATACCCACCGATACCCATGTGACCAAACCACCTGGAAACGTACACGCAAAAATACAAAATAAAAGACAAACATTTTCTGCACTTACATTCCAGCCCCTGATTATTACACAATAAACCTGCAATAATCATAGACACAATCAAAATATGAACAATATTAACATACATTACATAATTAATTGTTATACATGATTTTCTTTTTCCTTTTTTTTTTTTTCTTCTTTTTTTTCATTGCTTAAGGAAATGTGAAAAAACGTGTGCAAGAATGTCCAGAGCGCTCAAACGTTCATCATTGTAAAGTTGGAGTAAAGTTAATGTAAAAGTCAAGTCTAAGTCAGTAAAGTCAGTAATTCGATCAAGTCCAAGTCAAAAAGGTCAAGTCAAAAAAGTCAGTTGAGAGCTCTCAAATGTCAGTCATAGCTAATCTTTAGATTCCTCAGCTTCAAGAAGACGACAAATTTTTGTAATTGGCCTGGTCAAGCAGGTACTCATAGTCTTGATCTTAACTTGCCGTGTGAATCCTTTTTTGTCTGTTATCACGTGAATAATTTTACCCATGATCCAGGAACTTCTTGGTGCGTTTTCATCCATCATCAGTACAACATCTCCCAACTGATAGTTCCGTGTCTTTACCATCCACTTTTGTCGTTCTTGTAGTAAAGGTAGATATTCACAGATCCATCTTTTCCAAAATTGGTTGGCTAAATACTGAATTTGACGCCATCTTCGACGAGCATACAAATCTTCCTGCTCAAACAATCCAGGTGGTAATGTAAGCTTTGTTTTTAGAAGGAGAAGATGATTAGGTGTTAAAGCTTCCATGTCGTCAGGATCCAAAGATAATCTAGTTATGGGTCGGTTGTTAAGTATAGACTCTACTTCACACAAGAAAGTATGAAGACCTTCTTCATTCAGACTTTGCCCTCGAAGAATGGAGTTCAGTATTTTCTTTATTGATCTGATGAGCCTTTCCCAGATACCTCCGTGGTGTGAACCGGTAGGAGGATTGAAAGTCCATTTAATTTTCTTTTGTAGAAGAACGTCGTTTATCTGACTGTGGTTCCAATTTTGTATCGCCTCTTTTAATTCACGATCGGCCCCGACGAAGTTCGTTCCATTATCTGAACGTATTTCAGCCACTTGTCCTCGTCGGGCGATAAAACGTCTGAGTGCGTGAATGAATGAGTCGGTGTCCAGTGATGCAACCATCTCAATGTGAACGGCTCTAATGTTCAAGCAGGTGAAAATGACTCCATAACGCTTTAGAGTGGTTCTTCCTCTCTTTACTTCAAATGGACCGAAACAATCCAGTCCAACATGAGTAAAGGGTGGTTTGTCTGATGAGACTCGATCATGAGGTAAATCAGCCATCTGTTGATGACCTGCAATTGCGTTAAACCTTTTACACACTACACATTTTGACAGAAATGTTCTTATGGCTACGCTAGCTCCAGGGATCCAATATCGCTGTCGAAGAGTTGCCAGCATGAAATTCCGTCCACTATGTCCCACTTCTTCATGAATTTGTCGCAGGATTAGGTTAGAAATGTGTAAGTCCTTTGCCAATATAATTGGGTGTTTAGAGTGTTCAGGAATCAATGCGTTATCAAGACGTCCACCAACCTTGATGATATCACACTGAAGTATTGGATTAAGACTATAAAGAGGACTATTTCGCTTGACTACTCCACACTTTCGTAGACTATTTAGTTCCTCCGGGAATCTCTTTCTTTGAGAAAGTCGAATGATTTCCATTTCGGCCCTTTCCAATTCTTCCAACGAAAGTAAGTCCTTACGCACTGTAGGTTCAAACTTCTGCATCTCCTGATTAATAATCATCTCTTGTTGATATGGATCTATATCAGAGCAGACAAGAACAGTCTGCAGTCGTTTCCTTTCCTTGCTACGATCCATCAAGATTCGTCTCAAACGAAGGATCCATGCTACGGCTTTCTTTAGTCGAATCCAAGAGGAGAAGTAATCAAAGAGATATGATATGGAGTCAGGATTTTCATTGACTTCTATCATGTTTACCAAAGCACTCCTTTTAATCTCAGGGTCACGAGGCAATATTACATCCCTATAGGTGGGGTCCATAGGCCACTCCTTTTGTGATCGAACGAGAAATGCGGGACCAGAAATCCACGTCTCGTTCTTCAAAAGTGAATCCGCCTTCACTCCTCTAGACGCCAAATCTGCTGGATTACTTGACGAATTCACGTACCTCCATTGTTCTACATCGGAAGCCTTCAGGATTTCGGACACTCTATTAGCCACAAAGCACTTAAATCTTGAGGAGCTATTTCGAAGGTATTTGAGTACCGAAGTACTGTCAGTCCAAAACACGGAGTTCTGAAAGGGCATCTTGAGTTCTTTCATCCAGATCTTGTCAATACGGCTTGCAAGAGTGGCAGCTGTAAGTTCCAGGCGAGGGATTGTAATGGATCTTAATGGTGTAACTCTTGCCTTGCTTACTAAGAGGGTAGAATATGCCTGTTGTTGGTCATTATGGAGCAGCAAATAGGATACCACGCCATATCCTTGCTCGCTAGCATCTGAAAAATGATGCATTTGAGCAGAAATTACATCTCCAAACCCATCAGGCTTCAAACATCTTCTGACCTCAAAACTCTCCAAGTGATGCAGATCATCCAGCCAGTTCATCCAACGTTGAACATACACTGATGGAATTTCATTGTCCCATCCAATTCCCTCCCTACATAGATCTTGTAGTATCCTCTTGGCAGACAGAATCACAGGTGACAAGAACCCCAAAGGATCGTAAATGGAACTAACCACTGAGAGAATTCCTCTCCTGGTAAGAGGTCTATCTTTGACTACCACTTTGAATTGAAAGGCATCCGATTCAGCACACCATTGCACTCCTAATGCTCGTTCCACTGGCAAAGTGTCACGATCGAAATCCAAATCCTTTACCTTTTTCTCTCTGTCCTTCTCAGGTACTACACCCAATACAGCACGGCTGTTGCTCGTCCATTTTGTTAAACGAAATCCACCTTTAGCACACATACTAGTAAGATCCTTGTACAACTGAACAGCATCTGATTCGGAAGATACGGAAACAAGGCAGTCATCCACATAGAAATTATTGAAAACGACATCCATTGTCTTGGGGTCGAATAGATCCTTTTGATCCATTGCACATTTCCTCAATGCAAAACTCGAGCAACTTGGTGATGATGTAGCCCCAAATAGATGGACCACCATTCTGTATTCCTCCAGACTGCCGTTTACATTACCTTCTGGCCACCACAGAAATCTCAAGAGATCACAATCTTCTGGGTGAACTCTGATTTGATGGAACATGGCTTCAATGTCGGCCATCAAGGCAACAGGTTCCAGCCTAAATCGTAGAAGTACACTCACCAGTGAACTGGTTAAGTCTGGACCTTGTAGAAGCTTGCTATTCAGTGATGTACCCTGATAAGAAGCTCCACAATCAAACACAACCCTAATCTTGTGTTTCTTGAGATGATATACACCGTGATGGGGCAAATACCACAGACGTCCGTCACGTCTCTCCAGTTCAGCCGCCGGTACCCTTTCTGCATAACCCTTATGGATCACATCCTCCATAAAGGTGGTGTAATCTGCATGAAAGGAAGAATTCACTTTAAACCTTTTTTGAAGAGTTAAAGCACGTTGTTCTGCAATTCTCCTGTTCATAGGCATGACTACTTCAGCATTTCTGAATGGTAGACCGATGTAATAATGACCCTTAATCAGTCTTGCTGAATTGGACACAAAATTCATAAACTGCTGATCTTCTTTAGATGTTCCTACCATTTCTTCATGAGCAGTCTCTGGAAAATCGGCCTTAAATTGCTGCTTCCACAACTCTTCCAACTTCATT